TGTAATGTTACATTGAAGGATGGGATGTATCAGAGGATTCTGCACTTCATGAACAGACCTTCAGTGCCAGTATTTTAAGAGTATGGCTGAGTAATAGGAAAATAATATGTAGTTAAGATTTGTTGTTCTACCAGCAAAACTTTTAAACTTGTACTTTGGGAATGGAGATTGGAGATGTGGTTAATCAGGTGAAATGGCTCCTGCTGGAAGGGAATGCAATCATCTGGAGAGTAGTTACTTCCTTACCCTTTAATTGTTTATTTAATTATTTTCAGTGACAACAACACATGCTAAACTTTAGAAGCATATTTTTATTATTTAAAAAATATCACCCTTCCTGTATGGCAAGACCATTAAAAATTCTGGAAGTAATTAAAATTATATTTAATGTGGAAGCTGTAAAGGAGTTGCCCCCTGCCTCCTTGGAGTTCTGCTATAGCTACTCTAGATTTTACTTGTAAAAATAGTGGGTAACAGCAGTTCATACATAAGCATGAATATCTGCCCTTGAATTTGGTAAGTTTAAACATAAAATTAGTCTGAAGAATAGTTTTTTATTTATGTTAAAGTTCATAAATTGCCAAATATATTTAAAAATGCAATACTTTGGGAGCATTCTGTAGTATTATATTTAAAACTAAGTCCCCTCTTCCCCTTTAAGAATCTCTGCCTCGTAACTGTGCCCCCCAAATTGTAGTTTTAATCTCAGCTTCAGTGAATTTCTTCATGGAATCTATACATATGTTCAGCTTTCTCTCCCAAATAGTTCCATTGCTTTTTAGTTGTGCACTTTATGACAGTAAGAGAAATAGATACGTGAGCAGAGAAGCAACCTCAACGGCTTCAGTGTAGACAGGATACATGCACATGTGAGAGTAAGCGTTTCAGACATTTTGCAGAATCATAGAATTGTTAAGGTTGGAAGGGTCCTCTAGAGATCATCTAGTCCAACCCTCCTGCACACGCAGGGTCACCTAGAGCATGTGGCACAGGACCATGTCCAAGGGGACTTTGAAGATCTCCAGAGAGGGAGACTCCACAACCTCTCTGGGCAACCTCTTCCAGTGCTCGGTCACACTCACTGTCAAGAAATTCTTCCTTAAGTTCCTGAATGAAAAATATCTTTTTATCAGCTGGATTCACATCATTCTGAAGCTTTCTGTCATGACTGTAAATATTAGACATGTATTTATAGATAATGTTATAGGTCATTGTCTGTGGGAATTGATTCTTCCATGGGTCTCATGCAGGAAAACACTAAAATAACCTCAGATTGTAATTGTTTTGTTTTGTTTTTCACTCACAGAAGTGCTTTGGTAATTTATTAAAGTTAATAATCTTGGAAAAAAGTAATACTACACTGAAGCATAGAAGTGTTTATTTCCCCAAGTACCCATATATTTATGTATGTAAAATGAATACAAATGAACAATGCTCTGTGCAGGACAATTAACTCAATACTGACATTACCTTTCTTTTCCCTTTCTTCCTCCTTTCCTTCCATCCTGTACCCAACACTTGACCATGAAGATTTTAGATGCAAACGTACCAGTATCAGGCACTGGTGAAGAGGACTTGGCGCCCGATGCCCCGCGGCAGGAGCCATGTCCCGCGGAAGGTGCTGGGACACACCAGGAATCGCATGGAAAGCAGCCAGAGGGGGCTTCTCCCCCACAGGAGCCCCCGGGGCCGCAGGGAGGAGCAGATGCACCAGCTGGTAGGTGACGGGCTGTGTCCGGCGCGCAGTGCGTAGCGGCGTGGGTGCCAAGTGGGTGAGAAGCTGAAATAAGAATCTATCAGACGTTTCCTAGTGAATAGATGGTTTACTCAAGTAAACTTTGCTTCTAGGGTGTTTTTGGGGACCATGTTTTCTTCTTAGCACAGCTGAGATAATGAAGCAGTTGCAGTCAGAAACTGTGGATGGTGCAGGGCATTACGTCCTGCCTCAGGTGTGGTGCTTTCTCCTTGGTGCAAACCCACAGTGCCCGGTGGCTTGCTGCCTAGCTCTTGGCCATTCCCCTGAAGTGAAGACTCGGTTTCCACTCCTTAGATTAGGAGTTTATGCTGCATTGTCTTATTCCTGTCTTCATAGGGTAGAAATCCTTTTGTATTCATTCACTGGTGGTTAAGAAACTATCTGGATGTTAAGAAGCTATCCTGAGCTCCCAGGAATTGACAGTAGGGTGATCTGTCACTGTTTTGTTATAGTTCTCTTCATGCAGCTCGTAGTCAGACTTGTGGCTTGATCCCAAAGTTTCTTTCTGCTTGGAGGCACCACAGTCTGTCCTAGCCCGGGAACCTCTTTCTTTCCTGGCTGTACAGTAGTAGTGAGGTGGCACCTCCTCTCACGCACAAGGACAGCCTGCCCTGCCTGCCCTCCTCAGGCTTTGGCTCCTACCCCCTTCCTTGTGCTGCTGGAGGCGGCTGTGCAGCGAGGGAGATCCGCTGCAGAGAGCCAGCTGCACACAGATCTTCTGATGGGAAGGGGCTGGTTTTGAGTGAGGCCAGACAACTAAGGCTGGCGTGGGAGAGGAGGGAAGGGATGGAGAAAAGATGGGGTGGGCCACACTTCTGCTAAGGCAATTGCGTAGTCTTTATTGTACTTTGGGTTTGGAGTTCCTATAAAGGGAATTCTTTGCCACATCTTCAGATTAATTGCCATAACATTGTTATCCCAGTGGAAGGTTGTCCATATTTTTTGCTGACCCTTTGCATTTTCTTTTTTACCATATTGATAGAGTCTCTTGGCACTGTAAAATCTGGTGCAAACATGTTTCATCTTTCACTAATGGTAAATGCTGTTTCCTCTTAATTTTAGTTTTTAAGGATAGGGATATTCTCAGAGAGAGTAATTGGCAAACAAAGTCATGAAAGAGGAGAAAATACTTGATGACTTGAGGAAGACTCAAAAGATTTCATGTCAGTATTCATCTTTTGGAACCAGTAGCATGAGATGTTCTTTAAAAGACCATGGAGTTGATAGCCAGAGTGATTTTGTTGAATTCAGTTGGGACTGTGAACAGTCTACTCAGCTGTAGACTGTAGCTTTAGCTATGCGGAAATCGTGTTCCTAGACTGTATAATGAAAAAGAGTTGAAGAGCTCCCTTAGAGTGAAAATAATTATATGTGACCAAATGCACGGTGCTTTTTCTTGATGAAAATTAGGAATTTATACTTAAGTAAAATGCCCTTTTTTTTAATATCAGCTCTTTGTGTGGTTATGTGATGCTACTGTTTCAATCAGGATTTTATTGTTGTCACTGGAACCAAGCTTATATGATAGCAGAATTTTTATGGAAGTGAAAACACGCCTAGAGGTAGGCTCTCAAAGTAAAAGTGTCCTTTATGGAGGCAATGCAGTGTTTATTTCCTGGTAACAATAACTGCAAATGACACCATCCAGAGAGGAAAACAAAACCTCTCTGGTCAAGCATAAAAAGCCAGTTCTTCAAGTCAAAACTACATTCAGATACTCATCTATTCTTCTGGGCCTTACAAAGTTTGATCATTGGATAAATGAATAAAGAAGTGAGGAAATGTTCCACACTTCAAGAGAAATAAATCATTTTAACTCAACATTTCTTAATGTTCCCTAATCATTCTTTATCTCCCGTCCCCGCCTTTTTTTTTTTTCCCCAAGGTCTTTAAAGTCAGAAATAAAGCATTACGACAAGTAAGCAATATGTAGGATTTGTTACAGTAAAAGAATGTTATATGACTAAGGTATTCTTTGCTGTTTTGGATTTTTTCTTTTTTTCTCTTTTTTTGGATGCATTATTTGACTCTCATATTTGGAAGACTATTTGAGAGGGGTAATCCAGACTCATGGAAGTTGCCACTGTCAGATCAAATTAACTGAAAACTATCTTGAAGTTGGTGATCAGGGCCACAGTGCACAAACGAAGGCTCAGTTCGACTGGCCCAAATGTCTGTGAGTCATCAAATCCATATAGATCCCACTGGCCCCCAGCTAGTCAGGCTTCAGAGATAACCAGTGTAATCTCTAGTAACATTACTGGCATATTAGAAGGTCTCAGCTCCTTCAGAGATCTCAGATCTCTGATATCAGATGCTGACACTTTTTTAATCATATTGTGTCTTCTTTCACTAACAGTAAGAACTGTTGAAGTATTTTATTATATACTTAATACTTAAAAGTATACCTGTCTGAACTTGTTGAGAACAGAGTTTGAGACAATTTATGTAGGCAATTAGGCTGTAAAGATTTCTAATTAAAAAAATGATATGGCTATTAGTAGGCAAGCAAGCAAATGATCCATTATATTGAACACTTTTGTCTCCCCATATGCTTTTTAAAGAAATTTTATTCTATTGAAGAGTGAACTACTTATCATGTAGTCCAAGTGCCCTGCTCCACCAGGGCCACCTGGAGCATGGGACGCAGGGTCGCATCCAGGCGGGTTTGCCTGGAGTAAGGGCAATTTCAGCTTTGTGTAACTCAGAGTCCCAAAGTTCAGTCTTCATTCTGTTCCCAGTTCAGCATAAATACATAAATATGTTTATGGACCTCAGTGAGAAATACAAATGGTTAAATCTTTCCCCAAAGCTGACATTTCCTCTCTTTTTAAAAGAGACTTACCTGGAGTAAAAGTTAGATGGCAAATGCTTGAAAGTGGAACTGATGTAATTTCCAGCAGAGAAACGATGGAAAGAGAATAGTTAAACCGTATTTCTGCAGGCTGCGAGCGCCTCGGCATGAGGTCTGCTTGCAATTGGTGCTGGCGAGGCGAGGGGAGGGATTCCCTCCTTCAAGAGCATCACGTGCGCCCCGAAGTTGCTTTTTGCTCCCTCAGTTGTGCAGCGAGCAGCTGAGGAGGGACTGGTCCCCTCCGAGCACGAGCGGCTGCAGAGGCGCCCGGGGGGGGCCGCCGGACGCTCCTCCGCTCTCGGCTCCGTCTCCTTGCCGGGCCTGCTCAAGACAGAAGTAAACGTGCAGCGCTTCACACTGTGAGAAGGAAGTTTCTTATTATTAGTGTAATTTTTTAAAAAAATGCTGGGGACCCTAACGATCACGGGTAAGGCCGCATGGCGTTGCTCAAGCACCCGCGTTCTCGCACTCGGCTGCCGGGCGCCTGCTCGTGTGGCACCTGGGGACGCTGCGCGGCCGCCGCTTGGTCGCGTCCTGCGAGCCGGCTCCCGGCTGGAAGCAGGGCCTGCACCGGAGCTTCCGCAGGCTTGCAGTACCTGCATCGAGATATTTTAAGCTAAACTGAAGAGAGAGAATAGAAATGAGCACCATTTAGCAGCTGTAAATGTACTTATGTGAGAGATAGGAAGCTGTTACTGTAAAACTGTTTAATTATAATGATGCAGAGTATGTGTGTGTGTGTGTGCGCGTGCGAAGCCTGCGGTACCAAAACCTTGATGCTGTGTTGAACTCCCCACATCTTATTTAAGAATGCGGCAGATAAAGCGCTGAAGTATGAAAGCTGTCACCCTAGATTAATTGGGCTATCTGGAAAGATAATAACATTGAGAGGAGCTGAGAAGTAAAAAAGAATCTTGTCCCGCTACTTCTGCAGAGATGCATCTTTTTGTGTAAGATAAAGTGGCAGTACAAAATTTAAAAAATATATACTATATTTCCTAAAGACAATTAATAGTCATCATGAAATTTCCCCTTGAATTGCTGTGTCTTTAGCAAGCTGTTATTTCTTTTTTAAAAATTTCACTATATTAATAATTATTTACTTGCTCTTTTTTATACAATTTGCTGGAGCTAGTGAATGTATGCAAGAAATACAGGGCTTACTCATGCAAAATACTTTACTGCTACAGTACACATCAATAACAAAGCCTGTAGAAGTCCTGCTCTGCTAGGAGCTGACCCTGGGGAAGACTGTACGTGATTTGAATCAGTTAGTAGGGGAGGAGATATCCTACTGCTGTTTACAATAGGGTTTTCATTAAATTCAATGTTTAATGAGCTTATCACATGCTGAGTCTTTTTCCTCAAGGGTTCTCTATTTTTTTATTTCCTTTTATTGTTGGTGATTATAGGTTAATCTGCTTTTCTAAAGTAATCTTTTTATAGGGTCACACAGTTTGATAGATTGAGGTTTTTCTTATTTAATAATTCTTCTGGAAAGTTGAACTTTCACTATAGCACAATTGCTGTTATACTGCATTTTGCAAGAAGTGCAAGTACAAGTTATCATTTATTCGAAGGGACACAGCACATGTCTGTATTGATGTGCAGAAGTACATTAAGCTGTCATTTGTCTAATTAGTGTAGATGCAGCTAAATCTTCTTTGTAGTGAGTTTTTGTCTGTGATGTGAATATGTTATTCTTCATGAAGATGTTTTGACAAAGAAAGTTTTCAATCCGTTGCTCATCATGCATCTCAGTTAATCATTCTCCAAAATGCCCTACAATTCCTGAGCTATGCTGTTGTCTCTTCTCTTTGTTGCTGTTGGAGCTGATATTTTTCCCAAGTACCAGAGTACTGCTGTTATATCTTTCTTATACTTAGCCAACACATTTAGCAAAACAGTCCATGAACATGAGACACAGGCAGTATGGAAAACCATGAAATTTCATAAATATTTGTAGCATGCTGGTTTGATTGACAAGCAGAGCAGCTGGGCTGATTTAAGAACAGTTTATTATTGTGAGTTCATTAAATGAAGAATCTTTAAATACAGTAACTGCATATCGAAGCCTTGGTTAATGACCCTTACAATAAAAACAAAATCTGAAGAAACTTGAATACTGTTACATGAACTTAAGTGCTGGTTTTATGAAACACTGAACTGAAAGAAGTAGTATTTTAAAAAACTTGTATTAATAAGTTATATATCATTGCATGCTGGAATTTGATAAACTAATGTCTAGGTTGGAGCAGGCAAGTACAGTTAAAGCATACATTTCTAAAAATAAAGTGTTTATAAGGGAATGTTAGAGCATCACATTGGAAATGATTGTGTTTTTTCAAAAGTTGTTTTCATTTGAGGTTATATACAGTGCCCTCTTCTGGGGCCATTGCTTTAGCTTTTTTCAGACGTGTGAAGAGTTACAGCTTTTTGCAGCTTTCTCCTTGTTTCCTTTTTTTTTTTCGAAACAGAGGCAGAAGTATGTAAAATTTTAATACCTAACTGTTCAATTGCCACACAAATACTAGAGACTGAACTTGCTAGTATTGGTTTTTAAAGCTCCCAAAGAAGAGTGTGATTAGAAAGGTCATGAATCGCATGCACGCCTTATGAAATTCAGTGTGTAAAATCTCTGTAAATCCTCCCTTATAATTTAAGTCTTCTTAAAGGCCCCCTCCCCACAACAAACACAGCAAGTTCAGTCCTTAGAAATAGTGGAGCGAACGGGATGATGATGGGACTGGTAGGTGCTTTCCATGAAAGTGGGGTGGAAATGCAAACAAAATAGTAGAGATGGGGAGCAAGAACTGGTGAAATACTGTCAGGGAGCAGCAGTGCTGCAGCCTTTATGCTAGCGTTGGATTGAAAAACTAAGAGCGGGGGGCGTTGTTTGTCTTACTAAAATCAACCTCCTCAAATGCCAAGTCAGAAGGATCAGAATTTGTGGTGTAATAGCCAATCCTTATACTCTATAGCGAAAAGCTACATTTTTGTTTGCTAAAATGCTCAGAGTCGCTAAATCCCAACTAGTTTCTTCATTTGAAATAAATTTGTTTAGGAGAGAGATGTCATAGATGTTGTCATTTAAAATGCATTTTCTTTTGTTTTACTGTTTCTCTGACTTGTATGTGTTTATGGCCTTTCTTATCCCTGTGTTTATTTGTTTCCATTATAATTAGAGGAGCTGTGCAATTAAGAAAAATAATAAAAGCTTGATATTAAACTGTCATCGTCATAGATATTTAGTTCAAATCCAATTTTAAATTGCCTTCTTGGGTTTCACCATTGTGTGAGTTTTAGAGCAGTAGGTGTTCTTTGCAAGTCTTTTTTTTTTTTTTTTTGGCAAATCTAGCTGCAATGGAGGCAAATGATTCTAAAATACCCTTCAGCTTTATGGCTATTTCCTATTTCACTTACACTCAGGGAAATCTACTGAGTCCTGTATATGTGACTAAAAGCACAATTTGGCCCAATATAGTTAAATATTGAATAAATGAAAACAAAATTAAAAAAAAAAAAAACTCTGGAGTCTTTCAGTGGTCAGCAGAGTTTGAAACATGGGGAACAGGGTGTGTGTGACATACATCTGATAGATTTAGAATGTAGGGAATTTATGGAAAAAATCCAGCACAGTGCTGCAAATCCTTGGGGGGAAAAGTCAACCAGCTCCAGATGTTGACATGGTTGACTGCAAGCGCATGAAGTGCTGCGGATTTAACTCTTGCGCTCAGAGTTCTTCCTGCCTTCATGCAACTGCCAGAGGAGCGACACATTTTCACTCCCAGAGATGGGTGAGCTGGGAGTGACAGGTTTTTTGCATTGCTGATGGCACCAGTCAGGTTATTGAAAGGGAAGTGCTAATAATTAATTTCATCTTAATGACAAGACAGCAATAGGGTTAGTGCTAGGAATTCAGCCTGTTTGAAAATAATGTTCCAATGTCCGGTCGGTATCTTCATGGTTCTGATGGAATGGAAATTAATTCCTACCTGCAGACCAAGCTACCTGTGAAGCCTGGCACCTCTGCTTCCTGAAGGCGTTTGGTGTTACTTGTCCCTTTCAGAATAAAAGGGAATATCTGCAGTTGTTAAAGCACAGGCTGCACCTTGATTCAATTAAAAATGCTTGAAAGCTACTTGGTACATAAGTAGTTAAAATCAAATTTCAGGTTTAATTCTTAGCAACTGTGGTTTAAGTAACCAAATGGATCAATTTTATGATATAATGTATGATTTTATCTTTGCCTCGGGATATATCTTTATTGTGTTTTTTTTTTTTTTGTCTTGACTACCCCATAATGGGTGAAACACAGCCCTGTGAAGGGCAGACCTAAGGAACTGTATTCCTAACGGTATTTCCCTGTGCATTTTCGGGGAGGTATTTTGAAAGGATCTCATGGGTTTCTTAAAGATGCTTCCAAGTTCTGTAAATTCATTCACAGAGCGCTAGTTGCCTTGCCAAGAGACGTGCGGGGGAGACAAGGGCCGATCCTCTGAACAATTCCTTGTGTAAGCAGCGCTCCAAGCTTGCCGAGAAGAAGTGCTCATGGCTTGCTCCGCGTTCAAAAGCGCCTGCGCTAACGATGTTTGGGCAACAAGGATGTCATTAATGACACTTTTATTAAAGAATCCAACTGCAGAGCGTAAAGTTCAGCTGTGCACAGTTAGTTGACTTCTCAGGTTCTGTGTCGCTTTTGGGCCCACTAGGTAACACAAGTGCCAAAGGGTGGCTCTCATACCTCTCCGTCCTGCTGCAGGCCTCTCGCGAGACAGGGGTGGCCACTTGCCAGCTGGGAGCGTGCGGGGGACGTAGCCCGAGTGACACCTCTCTCTCCAGATGCTGGCGAGGGGCACCGGAACTGAGCTGGGGTAGAGGGAAGCGTGTCAGAGCGAAGGAAGTAACAAAGCAGAGGCTGGGAACACCAGGAGCGTGTCACGGAGGGCACCTAGCAGCTGGTGTCCGAGCTGCCTTGGGCCTGAGGTACCTTGTGGCCCGATTCGTGCTTTTCGTTGGGGAGTGATCGGGGACTCAGCCCACAGGTAAACGTGCGGAGTGACCGTGCGGGGAGCGGTGTGGAGCACAGCTGTAGCTGTCCCCTCAAATGCCAAGACCGAATTCATGCACTAATACCGTTTTTTTGGTTTTTATTTATTTTTTGTTACAGACCTTCCTTTTTTGCAATTTATTCCATTTATTTAATAAGGGTAGCAAGGTAACATGATTGTTTGAATCACAGCAAAGATCAGATTACTGTGTATTGATTCTACAGGTTTTGAAAGCTTTTTACTGAGCCTGTAAATTTCTGTGTTCCCTTTCTTAATTATACGATGCCAGTAGTTATATTAATAAATACCTGTACTTGGAGGTTTTGCAATGATATGGTTCTTCTTTCTTTTGAAGTATTTTACAGATATAGATTGTGTCTTAGAATGTTATGCAGTGCATCATTTTATAAATATAATGAACCAAAATCCTTGGACTGGATATCATGAATATGAAGCCTCTGTAAGTTTGTATAGCCATTATTAACTAGCCCTGTGCCTTACCTCTTGCTTTGAAAATGAAAACACCTTACTAGTTCCTATTCCATCGCAATCTTCCCTTACAGTAAACATGGTTACTGTAAGTCATGATGAGTTTTCTGTTAAATTACATAATTTGATGTAAATGACTATGCCCTTCTTTCTGGGTCTGAGAATAAATGGACAAAAGTACAAAAGTGGTTCCTTGGTGTTATCTTTATGTCTTCTCAGCATACAACTACATAGTACTTGATTTATAAGGGTCCAAGTAATTTTAGTAAGATAATCCAGTCAGTTTTTCTTTGGTAACCATCTTAAAATGAAAAGTGACAGATTTATTTTACTAAAATTACTTAGATCTCGTTTCCCCTCCTCAGCTTGCCACTGGCCGAAATATTCTTAAAAGGATTTTTAATTTTGTTTTTGTTCGTGGAGCATCCTAAAGTTTGCATGAGGTATATTACCAACTGAGTAATATTCCTGGATTCTTCAGAAAGTTCTTTTTTTTTTCTTTTTCTGCCCCCTCACAAATTACTCATTGGAACATCTATCATCATTTGAAAATGTTCAAGGAGTTTGGGTGCCTGTCAGAGGTCAGACTCCTACATGAACTTGAAGTTAATAATTAAAGCCATTTTAAGCTAGGAGATGAAGAGAAAAATGAAAAGCTTTGCTTATGTTAGCTGAGAAACAACAGTGAGCAAGCTGCTGCTTGGGACTGTGAAGGACTGGCCCTCTGCGTTGCTCTGAGCAGCCAGTGTGCTTGCAGGCCGGGCTTGCACGTGGAGTCCGTGTGCGCACGGGCCTGCTGGGGAGGGACGCGAGACACAGCCCTCGCCACACGGCACGGGCACAGGCAGGAGCAGAGCCCCTGTGGCCTGGGGTTCGTCCTGAGGCCAGCAGGACTGGCCCTGCACAAAGCTCCAGAGTGAAAAATAAAAATCTGAGAGTGTCAAAGTAGCGCTTGGGCAGCCTGAGGGAAGGAGCGGCTCTTTCTTGCAGCACGTTGTTGCTTAACATGGAGCTTTTTCATTTGTGCCCCCCTCCCACTCCAACAAGTCCTGTATGGCTGAGACGTTCAGGGTTGCAGATGAACCACAGATTTATTTTTATATGTTGTTTTGTGCCTTATCAGATCTTGCTATTATTCACTGTTATTAATGTAATTCAGATTATAAGCAATAGGAATTTTATCTTCTCATCTTTTGCAGGACATCTTTGTTTCTCTCCATCTTTTTGACTTCAAAGATCCATTAAAAACTCCTGAATGAGAATTTAGGCCTACTCTAGCTTTACAAGATTTTTAATAATACATACTTAATGCTTCTACCTGCTTATATATTAGCAACATCATTACTTTTAATGGATAGGGAATTGTTATGGATGAAGTTTCTGTCTGGCCATAGTGGTCATGTAATGTAGTGTAGAGACCCGAGATTCCTGATTTAAAAATAAATATGTGGTACTGTAACTGTTTTGGAGTTTGCAAGTTTTCAGAAAAATAGGGAATCTCCCATAAACTCAATCACATCTTACCATTCATTTGGGGCAGAGTTGACTAATGATGAGCCTTGCTTTCTTATCATCATTTTAGGCCAATACATTTTTAAAATTCTCTACCTTCTTAGAAGTCTCTCTCTGCATCCAAAGGATATGGAGCATCAGCTTCAGAAGTAATTACAGATATTGTTCTATGAATTCTTGGATATATGATAGGGTAGAAAACGCTCTTCTCACATGAAATTTTAGTACTATCTTGTACTAAAGATGTTCCCAAAAAGCCCTCACCAAAGCCATGACAAAGGGAAAGAAAGAACAAGAGGATGTATGCTCTAAATGTGCATTTGCATATAATCTTTAAAAACCTGTATGGACTAAAATGAAAAAGAAAAGGGATTAGTAGATTAGAGTAAACTGAAAACTAGCCCTTTTAGAAGTGGTAGTTGTAGCACACACAAGAGGAACACAGGTAATAGAACTTGCGTAGTTGAGAAATGTTGATTAAGAGTGAAAGTAGATAATATGTGTACAGTTAGAAAGTAATAAGTAATTAGGAAGGCAAGGAAACTAATGTGTTTTCTGTGTTTGTTTTATTTTTTAACAGTTGGACAAACTGAGCAGTCCAGTGCAAATTTGCAGGAAGAGGCCGTGACTATGGAGACAAGTCCTTCTGACTCAAGCACCAAGGATGGGCTAGATGATGGAAAAGAGGATCCTCATATATCTAAAAAACTGCCATCTTCGGAAGAAGATGCAGAAGACCTTGACCAAGCATCTGAGCCACAGTCTTATGATTTGGGCTTTAAAAAGGTTTTTAAATTTGTTGGATTCAGATTCACAGTTAAGAAGGAAAAGACAGGAAAATCGGAACCAGTTCAACTGCTTACCGTAAAAAAGGAAATGGAAGGCACTGAAGGAGCTGGTGATCAAAGTGAAGCCAGCCCAGAGGAAACACCAGTGCCTGAAGATACCCTCTCTGCACAAGATGACACCAAAGATGCAACCAAGGATGAAAACCCAGAAGATGAATCTCCTAAAACATCAGAAGCAAAAGAACTGTCTTCTCAGTCAGCTGCCTTAGCCACTGATACTACATCACCATTGCGGAAATTTTTTTCCCAGGGATGGACTGGATTTAGGAAAAAGAAGAGTTTTAGGAAGCCTAAAGAAGATGAACTACAGTCTTCTAAAAAAGAAGAGGATCAAGAAAAGGAGGAGGCACCATTAACCGCTGAAGCCACTGAAAAGGAAGAGAAATCTGAGGACCAGAGTCAAGATCAAGAGAAGATTGTGACAGCAGTAATTGTTGAAACACATGAGAAGGAACAAACTGAAGATGAAAAGCAGGAATCAGAAAAGACTATGGCAGCCATAGTAGTTGAAGCGAGTAAGAAAGAAGAGCTAACCGGGCATGACCGGCAGGGACACAGTGAGGTTACAGAACCAGCAGTTGTTAAAGTAAATGGGGAGGAAGTAAAAACTGAAGGTCAAGAAAATAAGTTAGTGGAAAGCTCAGAAGAAGTAAATGAAGGAGAAAAAGGAAATGAGGTGACAGTGACAGCATGTACCACAGAGCCTATTGTTAGTGCTTTAACTGAGAGTGCAAGTGGAGAATTTAAAGCATCACAAGTTGTAACTGTGGAAGGAAAACTGGAATCAGTGGAGACGTGTGAAATAAATGACAAAACTGAAAAGTCATCTGGAGAGAAACTTGAAGTAGATTCTTTATTCGCAGTTGAAAGTTCTGGAGAAGAGTTGAAAAAATCTGAAGAAAGAGCAGAGAATAAACCTGAATCCTTAGCTCCACTAAAGGAAGAAACAGTTGAAAATACACAGAAACCAGAACCAGTAATTTCACCTGCAACAGAAGACCTCAATGGAAAAGGACAGACAGTAGGAGAAGCTCATGACACAGCCATGGAGATGAAAGCAGATAAAGCAAAGACCTGTTCCACTTCTGAACATTCATTTGACATGGAGGATGATCAACAGCCAGCCAAGCCCATTGATGAAGGTCTACAGGGCCAAACAGGCATCGTTATGGCTGATGATACCAAACCAACTGATGTAACTACAGAAGTAACTCCTGATGAGGCAGCTGAAAGGAGGCCTCCAGAAGGTATCACAAGTGAAGCTGAATTACTGTCTTCTCAAGAAAAAACTAAACTACAGGGCAGCCCTTTAAAGAAACTCTTTACAGGTACTGGATTAAAAAAATTGTCTGGAAAGAAGCATAAAGGCAGGAGAGAGGAATCTAAGTTAGGAGAACAGGGAGAACAAACTCAGCACTTGTCAGATTCCCCAGATAGCCCAGAAGAGCAAAAAGCAGAAAGTTCTGCTTCTTCTCCTGAGGAATTACATGAGATTCCTTCTTTGGAAAAACCTGCAGATGGAATGCAGGTCACTGAAAATGAAGATGCTGCAATTTCAGATATGGAGAGAAAAAGAGAAAGTGTTACACCATGGGCATCATTTAAAAAGATGGTGACTCCCAAGAAACGTGTCAGAAGACCTTCTGAAAGTGATAAAGAAGAAGAAATTGATAAGACAAAGAGTGCTTCACTGTCTACAACTGAAAATGCAGTTGATGAAAATCAGAGAGAATTGAAAGAAAATGGGGTGGACCAGAAACAAGAGAAAGTCATTGAAGAGCCCAAGAGAAAGGTTGACACCTCTGTGTCTTGGGAAGCTTTTATATGTGTAGGTTCTTCAAAGAAAAGAGCCAGGAAATCATCATCATCTGATGAAGAAACTGAACATAAGCCTGGTCAAGAAGGCCCAAAAACAGAGGAGTCTGGACAAAGCAAAGAAGCAGCAACAGATACAGCTCTTACTAGCTCTCAGGAGAGTGATCAAGGACAAGGGAATTCCTCCCCTGAACAAGCTGGAAGCCCGTCTGAAGGTGAAGGCATTTCAACATGGGAATCATTTAAAAGGCTAGTCACTCCAAGAAGGAAATCCAAAACCAGAATGGAAGACAGAACTGAAGAGACTGTCGTGGGATCTAGCCTGGAGCACTCAACATCAGATGGTGAGCCAGGAAAAGATGAATCGTGGGTTCCATTTAGAAAACTGATGCCTGGCCGTAGGAAAAAAAAGTCAGATGGGAAACCAGAGCCAACGCTTCTTAAACAAGCAAGAGAAGACATGGCAGAAACAACTGAAGAAGATTCTGATGTTCCAGCTGTTGTTCCTTTATCTGAATATGAGGCAGCAGAGCAAGAGAAATTAGAAGCCCAGAAAGCAAAAGATGCTGAAGTGAAAAGAGAACAAACCTTAGAGAAAGAAAGAGCAGAAAAGCTAGAAGAGACTGTAAAAACTGAGCAAGCTAGTGAAGGGCTTGTTCATGCAGTTAGTGTTACTGTTGTGGAAGGAGAAAGGGCAGTTACCAGTATTGAAGAAAGATCCCCATCATGGATATCTGCTGCTGTGATGGAGAGCATTGAGCAGGCAGAAGAAGAGGAAGAGAAAGAAACTAAGCAAACATTTGAATCAGAAGCTGTTGTAGAAGAAGCAGCGGTGGATGCCAAGACAGTGCCAGAGGTGGGAAGGGATACAGGTGATGATACCACAGCAAGTGAGCCGGAGCTGACCTCGGAAGCCGTGACAGCTCTGGAGGAGACCACAGAAGCTTACTGTGCTGAAGAAACAATGGAAGTATCCTTTGCTGAGGAGACAACTGAGATGGTTTCTGCTGTTTCACGGTTGTCAGAAACTCCTGATACTACAGAAGAAGTCACACCTGTACAGGAAGTAGAGGCTACTGAGCAAAACTTGAGGGAATTAGCGAGACAGACACAAGAAGTTCTTCAGGAAGTTGCTGAAAGAGTAAGGTCATCGGATGTAGCACAGCTGGTTAGTGAGACAACCATGGAAGCAACCGTAACTAAGACAGTGCAAGAAATTGAGTCAGAAATGAAAGATGGTGCTAAAGATGTGAAAGTACTAGATCAGGAAATTCTTATGCTTGAACAGTCCTTGAAAACTGGAGGACACAAGGAGGATGATATCCAAGCCCTGGGAAGTGCAAGGAGCACCCAGGCCAAAGATGGAGACGAAGGAGTTCTTCACGAAGGTTTGGAGAGAGGTGAAATACCTGCTGCAATGAAAGCAAGCACAGAAAGACTTGAAAATGTAGATGTATTGAGAGATGAAAGCCAGGGGCAGATGCATGAGGAAGCAGTTGTAGATGATCATGAGGAAGCAGTTGTAGATGATCATGAGGAAGCACCTGAACTGCAGAAGACAGCAGAAAAACCTTCATCAGAAGACAAAGACGTTCACAGCAGCAAAGTAGACACTTCCAAGGAAGAGCCTTTACTAAAGCAAGAATCTTCAGAACAAGACAAATTGCCCTTACCAGAGCTGACAGGAGATGAGATGAGAGATGAACATACTCCAGGAGTGGAAACTGCAGTAAGTATTACATATAAACACAAAGGTCAATCTGTCTCAGAAAAATTCAGCAAGTGTTAGACATCACAGCTAATTCAGAAGCAGGCTGTAGCAAAATCTTTTTCAAGGACCTTCCTTTTACAGAATGATGAAATTGAAGTTTCTTTCTGTGGGAGAGATTCAAAAATGCCTAAAGCAGCTACCACTGAGGCTTTTGTGCAGAGTGAGGTGGACAAAATTCTTATAGTAAGAGGAGGAAGGTAGTACACTTGAATCTGAAGGTGCACAAACAAACACCATTAAGACTTCTGCACAGAGTAATGTTATTGAAGACATAAGAAACAAAATGCAGCATATACAAATTACCTTCCATCTCAGATTGATTTTTTTAATCTCAGATACACATGCAGTTGTGGCTGATATACCTCTGCCAAGGCAAGAATGGCACCACTACCTGTGGCTTTAAAGGTGCAGGAGTGATGGTGGCTCATGAGTTGCTCCCTTCTTCCTTTCTTTCCCACTGTGGGAAAGGCCTAGTCTTTGGCGTATGTGGTGTCAGCTGTACCTGCTTTTAGGCAGGCTGTATTTTGTTTCTTGAGCTGTGTGTCCTGTGAAACTACACACCAATGTGCTGGGATCTTGATCAGCTAATCTTGATGTCATCAACACAGGCCATTATAACCCAGACCACCTTGTTTGTTTCTTCTGGTGCTTTTGCATGGAAAATATTCCAAATCACTCTTCACTCATACACTTCTTCATATTTTTGTTCCCATTCTCCTCAGGTGCAAAACATGGATGCAGGTGATGCCTCTGCCTTGGGTCCTGCAGGCACTGCAAGTAAAGTGCCTGTGCAGCTTGAAGGCGAGGGCGACATCTCCTCCAAGAGCCTAGAGGACACAGAAGCGGTTGTTGTTGCTGTCCCTGGCACGCCAGTGGGAGAAGAGACAACTCCTGCCTTGGGCTCACCAGGCCAAACTTGGACTAAGGGAGTTCCTGGCGAGGCACCTCCCCAGGGAGAGGAAAGCAGGTCTGGGCTCCCTGCGGTGCAGGCCACCCATGTCCCTGCTGCCGAGCTCCTGCGGCAGAGGGAGATACAAGTCTCTGCCCTTCCTCCAGAAACAACTGGCTCAGAAGCAGCTGCAGTGTCTGGGCAGAGTGTGAGCGAACAGACTGGTGAGCAGATCTCTGCAGAGGACTCTGGGCCTAGCCTTAAGCCCAAGTGCCTAGAAAGAGCCACAGAAGAAGTGCTCTGCCAGAGTCATGAGGCAGAATGTGGACAGTTACAAGATGCTGAACTCAAAACCTCAGCCCTCTCTCAGAGTGAAAATACTAAGGAAGACAAAATGGAAGGTGCCACCCTCAGCATGGACTCATGTGGCCCTGTCACTGCAGCCCCCACACATCTTGAAGGAGAAGCCCCATCTGCCTTACCACTGACAGGCATGGAAGCCACAGACAAGGGGAGCAGAGTCCTCTCTGGCAGCAGTCCAAAGATATGTGAAACCCCAAGTAGCGTAGCTGCAGAAGAGCCTGTGGAAGCAGAAAAAGAACTTTTAGATACCTCAAGCTGTGAGGATGTGCTGAGGGAAGAAACCAAAGGGGAGCAATTGGTTGGAACGTCCCATGGGGTAGGTGACTCTGACACACTGGAAGCTGTGAGTGATGATGGATGTTACTCATGCACTGTGCAGCAAGGGGCTTTAGCTGGGCCGGAGGAAGGTCCTGGCTTAGCCTGCCCTGGAGCTGAAAGCCTGGAGCCACCACAAGTGTCTGTTGCAGCATCCGCTCCTGCACCTGGAGAGCCTGTCCCTGCTGAAGCCATGACACTCACAGCCCCAACAGCCGAAACATTAGAGCCCTTGGCAACCAGCCCTGGGCAAGTAACTGCTGAGGAAGTCCCAGCTGCTACTGTTGACCATTTAGGCCCTGAGATTGCAGAGCTTGACAGCACAGAAGCGCCTCACCCTCAAGCACCTCCTGTTTCTTTGAAGGCAATTCCAGAGCAGAAGCAAGAAATGCCTCAGGGATTTGAACACCCTGAGGCAAGTGTTGCTGCTTCAAAGAAAAGTCCTTCTTTCGACTGCCCTCAGTTGGAGAAAGATGTTGTTCAGTCAGTAGCCTTGGAAAGCCAAAGTACAGAAATTGTATTGAACGCCATCCAGACGGCTGTTGACAGACTCGCAGAGACCAAGGAGTCAGCTGCATCTGAACCAGAGCAGCACACTAAGTCCACAGACAAAAGCCAAACCGATAGCAGTACACCTGAATTTCTGGAGACTGTGCAAGGGAACCACCTTCCTGTCGACGAGGAAGAAATACCAATTAGGGATCAAGAGCAGTCAAGAAGAGTGAAACATTCCCCATTAGGAGAGTCTGCAGAAATTCATATAAGTGTAGAACAGGCAAAAGATAAGCTGCTCATTTCTCATGCACCTCAAGAAGGAAAAAGTGAGAATTCCCTAGAAGTTACGATTAGCCCTCAAGATGATTCAAGGGAAAGTCCAAGACTTCCAAATTCAACAGTAGGAATAGGTACTTCAAAAGATACAACCAAAGAACCCCTTGACACACACCCACCAAAATTAAAGGAAAAAGAGGTGGGGCAGATTCTGGAAATCCCAGACCAAAATACAGTTCAGCAAACACAGGCGGAAAAGAAGGATGAGCAACATAACCTGTCAGTGGAAGATGTGAAAACACTGATCCCAGAACCGGAGGATGTTTGTAGCCACGAGGGTGCCGCTTGCCACCACCCGCAAAGCCTGAACTCAGTGGCTCCCGAGGCTTCAAATGTAAGCAGCATTTTTAGCAAGCGATTTCTTTCCCCTTCCAGAGCAATTCTGAGGTGTCTGGAACTCTCGTCTCTTATTTTCATTCTAAACTATCCAAAGAGATTATGGCCAGGACTGCTCCTTGGTTTAACCAATAGTCCATTTTAATGGCTTTCTTGGCCACACAACACACTGCTTCCTTTTCTACAAGGGGCACGATTACCCCTGTCTTTAATGGTCTCTCCCTTCAGCTTCACCTCTGGCCTGTAGGATTTTTCTAGGAGGTGCAAAATACAGTTTACAGTTTTCTTAGCTATATAAAACACATTCCATACAGGTGAGTGTTACTTCTCTAACAAAGCTGACTGGAAATGCAAAATGGCTGACTGGTGCCTTCCACTGTAAATCAGGAGTGCCTAATTTCCCAAAGCTCTTTAAACTTGAGTGATATCTAAATCAGAAAAGATGATAGGGATACACTCTCCTTTGGCTATTTATTATTCTTGCTTAATTAAGTTGTGTGACCCTCTTCAACTCCATTTCTGAAAACATTTTAAGAATGATGCTAAGATATTCTTGAGAAAGGAAATTATCATTAATAAAGCTTTGTTACTGTCTTCTTTCTTTCAGATGTGCTAAGCATCCCTGTGGCATTTGGAGAGATGCCAGTCTTAGAGAACAACTGACAATCCTGTGGCTGAGCCGGGAGCTTTATTCACCACCCTTTATTCTTGGATGTTAACAGCTGCTCTTCTAAAGACTTCACCTTTTTGTCCTTTCTATTAAAAACAATGCCTTCAAAGTTGGGTATATTGACACATGTATCCCATGCAAAGGTCAGTTGCCTTTGCCCCAAATGTACAGACTGGAGATGTGCAACTAAGTGAATGGGCAGACCACTAAAAATTGTTCCGCAGTTTTTGACATATCTTAAGATCTTGTCTCCTGTCTGTCCTGTCTCCTCCAATCCCTTCATTTATCCCTGAATCCCCTACCTTCTCTCTGCAGTTTCCCTTAGCGCACTCATCTTCCGTAGCTGCCTTGATTTAATCTATCACGAGGCCACAAGTGCTGCTTGGCTGAGGGGATGAAGGGAGAGGAGAGCTGAATGATGAGAACGCGGAAACTTCTGGCTGACCAGTAGATGTTTTCTTGTTGAACAGCAGGGACTGGAACACGCACAAATGCTCGAGCAAGATGCTTGAGATTTCTGTCTCTCAGCCCCAGTCAGGTAAAAGAGTGCCCTGCAGGCTCTCGCCATCCTTGCTAGTACTGGTGCAGGCCTGAGTTAGTCAGAAGTAACTTCTATAGGGTAGCCTGAGAGGAGGAATTTGAGACTACCCTTCCATTGTTCCAGACTTCAGGTTTCCAGAACTGGACTGTAATGTGTTGAATATTTATATGTATGTCTTAAACCCAGTTCTGATTTTAATGTAGAGGTATGATATTTCTGTACCTTTTAGACACACCCTTTAAAGAACTTTGTAGTGTAGCCTGGAGACAAAATGGATACCACTGGAGAGGAAACTGATAACATGTACTTTCCTATTTATTGTTCCAGGTTTTCCCCTCATAAAACCCCTCTAAAACTTGGCTGTCATTCTTTGAATATTTATATGTATATCCTAAACCCAGTTCTGATTTTAACATAGACTGTGATCGGGTGAAAGACAAAAGTAGAGCCCTAACTTGTGGCAGATCTGCCCACTGCCATACCGAAGTCATTTCCACTTTCCAGGTTTCTGAGAACCGTCCAGACTTGTCTCTTCCCCTGCTGTCTTGGCAACCTCATCTCTATTACACCCCTGTTATCCCAGAGTCAGCTCATTTCTAGTCACTTCCTCATCCAGCCCCAAAGTCTTCATCCCACTGCTCCTTCCTACCAAACATCCTGCATACAACCCGTTCCTGAACTGCTTTCCCACCGGGGCATTTCCTGACATCCTCCCTGCTTGGAGCAATTCCCTCTCTTCCCTGTGGGAGGAGCAGGAAGGAAGGCAAGGGCTTGGTGACGAAGTGTGCCTGGGACTGCAAAGAGTGGAAGAAGACTTTGGGGTCCTGAGAATTTAAAACTCTTTTATCACAAGGTGGATGTAAGGTGGGTTGGATTGAGAACAGCTCGCAGAGTAAGCCAGGGGATTTAAAGATAGGCAGGAGCCCCAAGCCTGACAGTCGCAGGATGGCTCTACCCAACAGGAGTGCGTATTCTCTTTTGTTGTTTACACTAAAACCAGACAAAGGGGGTACCAGTCACTACTTTCCACTCTGATTTCTGAAGTGAAGGTTACAGATCGTACTTTGTGAAACTGATGCCCATCAAGTTGAACAATAGCTTCACTATCCTACCTGTATAGTAATTTATTTTAAAATCAGCTTGTAGTGTACAAACGCTCTTGTTATGGTAGGCGCTCGCCTCTCCTCAAGGCTGCACATAGAGCAAGCAATGTGACTGATTGCACTGGTGTGATTGCACCATCTGGTGCTGCCCTCTGTGGAAGCATCAAGAGATTTTTCCTTACCTCAAAGTAAATGATATAAATATTTAAAGCCGAGCAATGTGGTTTCAAACAATCCAGTCCATCTTTGTCCAGCATTAGCGGCAGCTTTCCCCCTTAGCTTTGGGCAAATCCAACGATCTCTGCCAGTTTCCACAGGTTAAGTTGGCTTGCAAATTAACTGTGCTCTTAATAACACCTCACAAGTGCAAACTTGGCTGAACTTGTACAAATTGTATTCCTATGTACGTTAAGCCATATTGCAATAACTGCAGCAGGTAAAATGAAATAACAGTAGCATGACCTGTGTAATCCCTATTCTTATGTTTGTAGTTCCAAAGCTGTTAATAATATGTAAAGTTAATTTTTGTCTGAACCTCATTTAAATAAAGCCAGCTTTATCACAATGTAAATTGTCTGTTGGTAGTAATTGGACAGGCAAGTGCTTAAACTTGCTTGTGATCTTCATTAATCCAAGGCCTAGGTAAGCAATGCAGCAAACTTAACTATAAAGCAAACATAAATGTTTCTTAGTGTAGCTGACAGCTGAAAAAATATTGCACCTGAAACCATGCTAGTGGTGCAAGGAGCGTGTCCCCTCATGAAGATGCTCCTTCCTTCCAGCGTATTGCTTTGGCCTCTGAGACTCTCACTTGAGACTGTGACTTCTGGCTTATGCTTAAAAGCTTGAAGCTTTCTCTAATCCAATGTATTGGGTTACCAAATTTGATTTTATGTTTTTTAAGGTAGATTTTCATTGATTAAATAAAATACAACTGCAAGTTTGTTTTAATGTGTGTGCTTTTTTCTTTTTCAGCTTCCCCTTGCTTAGTGCAAATTATTTTCTGATGATAGCTTAATCTTCAGAGAGGTCCTCATGTTTTATGCTCACAAAACTTGGCTTTTAGAGGTGACATCTTTCTAGCCATCTGTGTTTATGGTTAAGGGTGTTTAGCAGCATTAGTATCTCAAAAGGCTTAAATGTGTTCACACCTGAGCTCATTCTGTGGAATCTATCTATTTGCCTTCCTGCCTCTGCTGCTAAATCTGGTACCTGCAAATACCTGCATTGGGCACAGCAAACGAAGGTGCAACCATCACTTAAAGACAGCAACACAGGGGGAGATGCCAGTCCTTCCTCTCCTTCTCTTACTGAGCTAGTGGGCTCTGGCTGAGGGCAACTGATCTCACTGCCCGACTCAACAAGAGTCACTGCTGTAGGTCAGACCAGCATCTTCCACCAGAATTTGGGCCTATGGCTTGTGGCTGTAGCCCTCTGCCAGTCCTTCCACAAGGGCCGTGCATTTAGGCTATCCTGTTAATATTGAGAGTTCCTTATCAGGCATCAAAGTGGGGATTGGAAAGCAAGGCTTTTCCTTACAGGGAGGTTTGTGTGCTTGCAGTTCACTCTTTATTAAGATGGTTACTGGAAATATCTTGATCTGATCTATCAGCTCCAACTCTGGAAACATCCCATTCAGATTCAGCATCAGGAGGAGGCTGCTGGGCTCACCGTGGAGCTCGGAGGTCACCAAGGTACTGCTGAAGGGCTGTTGCGAAGCCATGAGCACAGGTGTTCCCAAGAGGGCTATGCTTGGGTCTCAACACTCGGACATTTGTCACTGTCACTGCCACACAGGAGGGAGCAAACCTGAGCAGGGCAAGGGCCCCAAGGAAGGGTGTACCTGATGCAGGACAAGGAACAATGTGAAGTGGTGAATAGGATTGAGAGCACAAGTGCTGGGGTCCTGATCTGGGAGGCGTGGATGAACTAGCTCTGCAAACATTTTAGGATGCTGATAAGATGCTAACATCAGTTCTTGTTGGACTCTCAACTTAAGTCTTTACGAAAGTGAGAATGAATGATAACAGTGTAGTAAAGATGCATGGAAGTTCTGCTCCAAAAGCCACTGGAAAAAGAAAATGTATCAACTATTTAAAATATAAAGAACAAACAATTTTGAGAAGTGTCTCTTGCTGGTTCTTGAAAATAACATGTGTTTCCAGTGCTTGAAAAATCTACACACCTCAGTTCTTGGTGCTGGGAGCGATGCTGTGCCAAAGTGAATGAATTAAAAGTCATTTTGCCTGTGGCTCCTCTATATGCCATGGGAGCCTCCTGGGAATGGTCAACATACAGCAGCTTGAGCCAATCTGCACGACAGATTTTATAGACACATCCCTGTCCCTCTCGCAAAAGGTACCAGATTAGAAAGGCTAATGAGCAAAACACTTTTTCCTCTAAGGAACTAGACAAGAAGGTAATTTTAAATTTTTACAAGGAATTTACAAACCAGTTTCTCCTGAAAGTTAGAAATCCCTATCATCATCCAGGAAACAGTTGAAAGAAACCCCTGCCTCTTTCCCAGGGCATCAGTCCCTCATGGTGTTTTGCAGTGCCTCGAGCTCATATTGATGTGGTCCTCGAGTATCTTTCCCTGCTTCTGCCCTCTGTTTCTCCACTTAGTAAGAAAGTTTCTTGTCAACTTGTAATCTTGTTTGTAACCATTTTTCACCTAGGAGCTGTACTGGCTCTGGAACTCACATGTACTGTACTTTTCTATGCTCCTTCCTCTCCTGCAAGCCTCTGCATTTGAAGCCAGTTCTCGTTGTCCACTCTCAAGCCTGCAGTGATCACGGGCTGCTCCTCAAGGCAGGAATCTCTGGGGAACATGTGTCCTGGAATAAAATCACTGGGGTGGAGATTGCATCTCCAGCATGAAGGCCAAACTGTATTCAGATTCTAATAACATGCACTATCTTAAAGAAGGTTGTACAGAAAAAAAGAAACAAATCTGATTTTAATTATCTCAGGGAGTATATTGCAGGGTACCACTTTTAAAATATAGACAATGTCACAGATTTTCATGTGTATGGAATGATTCAGTGTCCCTCTAACAAATACATACACTGGTTTTGTTCATTCATGCCAGACTACAAGGCAAACTTGTTTTTACTGGCCTAACTCTTCCTCTCAGTGAAAGAATGAATGAGTCCAGAAACGCTCAGAACCACTCATTTCTAAATTGTTATGCACATGGTTGTGCACAACCCTCTATCTTAAAAACAAAACAAAACTCTATAATATTCTCAAGGGAGTTTCTCTGGTTTTTAATGGAGAGAAAACTGTCTTTCTAATAAATAAAATTCTCATAAAAGACTTCTAGTAAGAGACTTAATTGCAGCAGACAAAGGCTTTATAACCGCAGTGTCATTTCTGCATTTCTGTGATAAAGAGCTTTGTTAAAGATATGTGCATATGTACATAGGAACATTTGAAATAAAAATAATCTGTTCAAATCTTTAAAATACATAGTAATAAATCAGGAATGTTGTGAAGCTAGTGCTTTTTCTTTTTTTCTTTTCTTTTTTTTTTTTCCTTTGCTAACCGCTTTTAAATTTGCTGAAG